TCATTGGTCGAAAATAATGTTTTGACTTTGAGTTTGATGATAAAGAAAACAAAGAGCTTCGTTATCATACCAAGACACGTATGGCATGTGGAAAAATTCAGTTCACCATGTTACGTCGAGGAGACAAACAAAGTTAAGATGAAAAATTAATTTTGTACAGTGGATTTAGAGCGCTTTTCTCTGCACATGCCAAAAATAATTATTTGCTGAATCGTTTAGTAACTTCAAGTTGATATAGACGTATAAGATAAACTGCGACTCTCCATAAAATGTAGGACACGAACGAGAGAGAGATCACAATGAAACACATATAATGACAAACACACGCTCAAATTCACTAAACACTATCAATATTTAATCATTTCTGGCTCTCCATCGCAGCTGCTGCTACTACTGCCATAGTTACTTAGTGTGGCATTATGTTGACATCAGTCACTAACAACTTGAGCACTGACAACTAGTTTGTATGTTTAAAGTTGAGGCGAGTGAGCGAGCGAGCGAGCGGGCGCATCCCGTAAGAACGGTCTACATTTTATGAAATATTCAACGTTTGACTCGAAGATAAAAACTTTTCTTTCTGGTAAAGTTTTCATTCACACTTTTACTCAAGTTTCATTTTCGGAGAAATAGCAGAAATATCGACTCGATGCGTTGACAAAATGCAAGGTAACAGATAGCTTGATATGCTGCCAGCGATTTGGTGCGACAAAATTGACTTATCCGAAAAACGAAAACAATGGACTACCCACAAGTGTCGCAACAATGAAAAATTATTTTCATCGGCCGCTTTGTTTGCCAATTCGCTTGATACGTGACGCGACAGCAAATGCTCTGAGCAAATGACACACACAGAGAGAGAGACAGAAGAAACATCGAATTTCAACCCAAAACTATTCGAAACCAGTCACAAAACTCGTTTATTGATATCGTTCTGCTGCTATAGTGTTGTTTTAGTATTGCTATTAAATTTCAAATGAGAAAAGTTTCTCATGGTTCAACGCAGGAAAACCGATTTTTCCAAGCCGTTTGAATAGTCGTGATTATTTTTCGAACTGTTATGCTGTTACCGTTTTCGTAAACTTGTCTCGTTTTGTTGCTCTAGCAATAACTCTCCGTTTTTGGGTGAGCTCACTGACAATTTCATCTGTTGAGCGCTTTTGTTGCCTTAACCACAGCACACACACACACACACTCATTTTTGTGTGTTCCATTTAAAAATGTTTGCAAGATGGCAGCAAATTCAAAACGGAGACAGGTATAAACGAAATTAAAGCGTCGCATGAAAAGTATTACACAAGTTAATTACAAACCGAGCAACATTCAAATGACTGAAATGAAATTACGCTTTACATTTTGTATTTTACATTTTATCGTTGCTTTGCTCCAGTAAAAGTGGTAACCATGCCTTTTGTCGTTCAAAAATTTCTCGTTCGCTTCCATTCAGCTCTAAAATCGGTGTATTTGCACGGTGGTTTTACGTGCTTATTCCAGTTCAGATGAACTTTATAATCTACATTGCAAGCCAGCAATTTTCTCGGAGAATTTTAATTTGCAACAAAATGAATTCAAATCGTTGTTTCTGATCCATAATCCGTTTATTTTACGCTTTTCTTTCGACTGAAAGGTGAACAACGCTCTGCATGATAATGACTAAAACTTTTTAGTATTCCATTTTCATTTTTTTTTCTTGCATGGCAAGAGATTAGAATCTCACCGCATTGCATGGAAACTACTCGAACACATTATGGAAATATTGAAAATTTCTATCGAACGTGCAAGAGTGTCTGTCCATTTATTGTTCGACTTTATTTCAGAATTTTCGATCTTTTTACTCTCGTTTTTGTTCCATTTTCTCTATGTTTTTCCCGATCCGATCCGTACGGTTTTCATGAATAATAAATACTCAACTATCAACCCGATTCTGACAATTTTTCCAAAACCATTCTGCTTGCTCAGGATGCGCACGGCTCATGCAGCAACAGAATAACGGATTTTAAAATTCAACGCATTGATGCATAAACACGAAATTGTCATAAAATTAAACACTTGAAAAGCTCGATTCCCCTGAATTGTGGCTACTGCATCGAACATTAAGTGTCAATTCGATTTCCATTTCATAGTCAATTTATGCATATTTTTGATGTCACCCCATAACATAAATATAAAATTGAAAATGTGCCATAAATTCGTTGGCAAGTAGTGACACCTTTCTCTCCTTCTCCCTCTCTCTAACTCCTTTTTTTTCCACCGAGACTGCCCATTGATATCCATCAGACTCAGGGTGAATTTCAATTGCGGTCGATAATTTCCTGACACGAGAAAAAAAAGTTCCATAGCATAAAAACTCATAGCATAACAACTGTTGATGAATCGAGAGGAGTGGAAAAGAGAGAAAAATGCTTTCATTTTACCAATTTGCAATTTTGGAATTGTTTTTTTTTCTCTGCACGTCACAAACGAGTTGTTCGCTATAAAACAAACATTTGCACAGTCGATAAATGTTTTTGAAATGGTTTATTTCTAAAAAAGAACTCAGAAGATCAGTCTGTGAAAAAACACTTTTTTTTCTAATTGGGGAGTTAACGAAATGGGTTGTCTGTTGATTTTCGTTTTTCTCCGAATTTGTTTTTATTATTTAAGCAAAACGGTCAAACGAATCCATATAGAGAGTCATCTTTAAAAGATTTACCTCAACCTTTTCAAAACAAAACAAAAAATGCTCAAAAGGTCCAATTTCATTTCAGTTTGTTGTACCGGAAATTGACCGAGTCGGAACAATGCCATTGAATGGTTAATTTGATCCAATAATGCAGATATAGAATTTGCTGTGTCCTTTCTTTTGTGTGCATGCATAGGATTTGGCAAACGTTGGTTTTGAAATTTAATTTGAATAAAAAGAGAGAGAGAGAAAGAGAGAGAGAGAGAGAGAGAGAGAGAGAGAGAGAGAGACGAACGCAAAGAATACGAAACCACAAAAAAGATATGTTTTTCACCTAAACATCGGGGTATAGCCATTCTTCTTCGAATGCTGTGCATAAAACATGACCGAAGCAAACCGAAAAGAAATGATGCGTAACAGTTTCTCTCTGGCATCACATAAATAATTCCGAGCGATGATTGTGGCCCGGACTTTGAAACAAAAGTTCCAATCCCAATAGAATATCAATTGTCCAAGGTTACTGAACGCATTCGTATTGAATCGAACCGATATTGCTGGACAGCAGTTAAAAGTTTTATTTGTTTGATGAAGTGCAAATGTTGGAAAACAGAATGGATGACACACTTCGACCAGCATCGTTATGATGGTGTGTCACTTGTCAAATCTCATATAATTTTTATAGTTTATTCGACAAAAAAAATAGTAATTTTGGTTTTAGTATACACACTATCACCATCACCATCTGTGAAAATGATGGAGTGGTGCTCGGACACGATTGAAAGCTTTCAGCTAGCTTTACTTAAAATTCATCGAACATCCGAAGCCACAAATTTGGGGTATCACTGACAGTCACACATTTCACATGAAATGTGTTGGTCGATTTATGTTGGTAAATTCTTCGAAACTGAACCAAGAAAACATACAAAAATCAATACACAGGATTGAATCACAACAATGAATGCCTCGAAGAAAAAAACTTTTCAAACGGAATAAGAGAGAAATGTTTCTCACTCCCATTTCGCTTTGTGTGAACAATACAATGTATTTTGATTTATACGCAAGCGGTGTTACACTGGTTGTTACTAAATCCATCGTAATAGCTTATATACTTTGAGCATCGGAACAAAGGCAAAGCACAAACAAAGGAGCCAAAAACAGAGGAGAAGAAGAAGAAGAAGAAGAAAAAGTGAAATTGAATGGAATAAAACATCAAATAAAAGCGTTTCAGACTTGCGCTGCTTGCGATACTATCGTTATGAACTATGATTACAACGAGATGATCGGGAATGAATACACGGATAATTCCATTTATTAACACTTGAAATGTTCAGAAAACGAAGGAGCGATGTGACTCGAATCGTACACGCAGAATGAGAGATAGAAAATTTTTGTCGACTGTGTGTGTGTGTGTGCCTGTGCATGTGACAGGATATCACATTTAAAACCTCACAATCGAAACTAATCAAAAGACTTTTGCCAACAAATTTGAAGCAGCAACGAACGAAAGTGTACGGAGGAAGATTGATAATCAATGGAGAAGTAAAAATCAGTCATGTGGGTGAAATCGAATTTTATGAGTCTGTGAGCCATGTTCTTTACACTTGATATGTCATTTCTGCCCTTTGCTGAACGGACACACGATTGTCATTCGGTGACTGAGCACAAGACGCAACAGCAATAGCAGCACAAGCATAGTTTGATTTTCATTTCGAACGATGTATGGGCATTTTTGAGCAGAATGCTCACGATGTCATCAGGTTCGACCTTCCGACAATCATCATCATTAAATTTTCCTTTTCACAGAATTTTTGTTATCATCGTTGATTGTCTTCCGATTGTAAAATGCTGCTCCGGCATCGATATGAGGGTGCTATTTTTAGATGAGCAATGAAATGTCAAGTGTAAAGAGAAGATCCATACTGAATTCACAATTTGTTTCAATCGGTATCGGATTTTTCGCTTCGTCCTGATGTGTCATGGTGTGTATGTGTGTATGTGACAACGATTAATCGTACGCATTTCTCTCTTGCTTTCTCTCTCTCTCTCACTCACTCACTCCCCGTTTCGTTTGTAATATGAAATATCACGCTTTGTTTTCGTGCTTCGTGCTTCGTGTTTCGTGTTAAATTTTAATGTTTCCATTTTATGCGATGTTGATAGGCAAATCGATTCGTTGGAGATGGCTTTTCTAAAACGCATCACTTATTTCCACAATGACAAATGCGGAGAATTCGTTTAAAATTCCGTGCATTTTTAAGCTCTCCCACACCGAATACACACACTTAAAAGGATAAAAAAGAGAACAAAAAAAAAAAATCGAAAAAAGGAAGGAGATACTCACTTATCGGTGCGATATCAGCAGTTTTCCAAGTCGCTCAATGTGTTTATGTGTGGCTTTTTTTCCACTGTTCCGTCTCAAATGTTATTTATGATCGTCATTGAATCGTATCTTGAAATTCGGTTTTGGTTCTCTCGCTTCGTGCGATTCAATTCACGACACATGAATCTCCAAATTCCGCAGCGAATTTCTGAAACGAGCACAAGGAATTGCGTTAAATTCTACTTGGGAATTCAGTAGTACACACAATTAAAATAAATACACCATAATGATATATATATACGAGAAAAGTAGACTCCTGTTTCTCTCTTTCTTCTTTTTTCTTTCCTTCTTTCCTTTCATTCATTCTTTCGCTTCAATCGACTGAACTGGCATTTGGTAGCAAAGCAATTTTGGGTGTACATAAAATTAAAAACGGGGAAATTCACCTTAAATTAAATTACAATTGATTCGCTTTCTCTCTGTTGGCTCAACTTTTTGCTGTCTCGATTGTACGTTACGATTCTCCCTGTTGTCGATTCGCATCTCGCCATCGAAACGTTTCAATTCGAACAATGAAAGCAAATCAAATCAGCTGCAAATCAATAGCAGTCACGCATTCACATTGTACACTGTATAGTCACAACTCGTGTGTGTGTGTGTGTGTGTGTGTTTTGTTTCTCCTCTTCTGTTAGCTATCTGATTCGAAAAAGGCACCAATGGGAAAAACAGTGAGCCGCCGAGAATAACTTCAACGTTTTTTTGTCACTCGGTGTTTTTTTTCCGTTCGTTCATGTCAAAATGTATCTTTTGTCAATTTGGTTTATTGTGCGTATAAAGAACCCATGGCAATTTTTGAATGTTTGGGTGTTTTCAATCAAATTTGATGCATTTGAGTTCTTATGAACGCCCCCTGAATTTTTTCAACACTTTTGCGAAGGTTTAAGCAATTTGCGCAATTTGAGCTAATTCAGCTATTGCTATAATGGACTGTTTTGAGCAGCAGCTGTCACTCATTCGAAAAAAATTTTAATTATTATTTGTGTCGGCTTTAATTTCATATTTGGAAAAATGCACCTCATTCGGAATAAAAATTAATATATTTCTATAAATAATACTGCAACGATAGAAAAAAAACACCAATAAACTAGTTTGTTCGCTTCCTGCATTTGTTCGATTAAATATTTTAGTGAATTTGGATAATTTTCCGTTTAAGTTAAGTATTAGAGTGCGTTCTTAATGCTGAGAAGTGACTTCTTTTAATGATACAAATAAAGAATAATATCAATAATAACATTTGATAATTTTCAATAAAAGTCTTCATATAAATAATACTATACAAATCATGAGTAAAGTATTCCAAATGTTGTCCAAAAGTTTGTTTAAAGCTTGGGTATGTTCAAATAACAAAATGCCATCAGTTCTTTTGGATTTGATGTTGTGTGTTTTCGTTTTATCTAAGTTCAAAATAAATCTGTACTGTTGATTATTGAATATGGTTGATTTTATACGCCAATTGGGTCGTTCGTTGGCATTTTGACTGAACATCAGCGGAACGTGTTGATACAGAGTGAGGCGCACCTACAAAGCGACGACGACTTGCAGAAACATCGTAGCGAGAAAAAAAATTGAATGTGTCGTGCGGAATAACCCTCTTTTGACTTTGATATTTCACAGAAGACTCATTCTTCGTTTGTGTGCCCATCAATTTGGGCTTCTTCGCCTTTTTTTTCTTGCCACATTACAATTTTTCAATCACAACAGACACCCCTAAACAGCTATGCGTACATCAAAATACGCGCATTTTCCACTACCTGAACGGTATTTCCTCTATTGGCGAAGGTAAATTTGCAAGTCAATCAAAAGAAAATACCGAAATGTGTGGCAGGGGTGCGTGTGTGTATATCTTGTAAAATTATATTGACAACTAGGAAACAGACAATTATAGCCAGTTTCTTTGCATTTGCCATGCCTTTTTGGCCAAATAATGGTTTGGCATGAGTTGTGCTATGATTAGGAGCCGGTTTGCTACATATTTATTTTTTAATGACATCGATCCTTCTTTCATTGGCTCCCCTTTTTTGTTACGCAGCCTGTTTGCCATCGTTAACTGAATATTGTCACCAGTTTTGTGGATTCCACCTGTATGTATGTGTGTGAGAAACTTTTACCCAACAAAATATTTAGTTATGCTTCTTTACGGCGAAAGATAATGATGAGTTGGTATGATGAAAAGGATTCACATTACATCACACACATACAAAGCCACAAAATGTAAACCATTCATTGTGTCGTCTTCAAAGGAGCATAGACTGAAGACTGATGGCACGCAGAATGGAAACGACTCTATAATTCGACTACCGGCGACTCGTAAATTAGGCAGTTCCGATTCGATACCTTTGCGTATGTTTTCTAACAAACGATAGAGATTGCATACAAAATTCATCAAGGTTAAACAAAAATCAAGTCACCATCACCGCTGCCTCCGCCACACGCATAAAATAGCTTACTTGAGTCAGTCACCGCTTTCATTTTCCGCCATGATTCCTTTGATCGTGTGCCTTCTTTAATGCATTTTATTTTCAGATAATTTTATTCCCAAGGCAAGAAGGGAGCGAACGATATGGAATTCATTTCGTTTTTTTTTTTGGAATGGGTTTATTTCGTTCTCGCTGACTTTATATATTTCATGCTATCGCGTAGAGCTTTTTCCATAATTAACATGGAATAAGATTGTTTGGTTCATTACATTGATTTTCGTTCATATCTCCAGTTTGATGCTTTGATCAGCGCCCACTCAAATTACCATATCCATTTCTAGAGCATCTTTTCACGGCCTGGTGAAGTCAAATGAAATTTTCTAGCAAAAAAAATTCATGGAATAACAAAGCGTATATATAATATATTTAGGATTTGGAAAATGTTTCTACGCCCTTTAAATGTATGAGCTGATCAAATATTCTTGTATCATTTTTCATATCCTTGAATAAGGTTTTTTCGTTTTAATGCGATTTAAGGCCCAGGGGCAAATCACTGAAATGTAATTTCTAATAATGTAGAAGAATGAACATAATAAGTAAGTAATTTTTATACTAAAAGTAATTTGTGGTATACCTGTCATATCCTAATCTATCGGTACATTGAAAAAATCTGTTAGTTCAATGTCATTGTCATACATAAATGACTTTTGGTAAAAAGTAATTTGTAATTTGCCTACTCAATAGGCTAGGTAATAGAAAGTAAGTAGTCTACAATTTATCTACAATTTTTTGGAACCATTCTTCATTCGAAAAAAAATTCGATTTGTGGAAAATACGTTTTTTGACCAAGATTTGAGTTGTCCCATTTTATAACAGTTTTTCGATAGCCGATTACTCGAAAAAATTGTTCCTACATAAAAAAAAGTAAAAACACTACATTAAAGTACATAAAATCTACAATTGAAATCGCCCTACCCGAAGTCATTTCGGCAAATTTGCCAAGATTTGAATATTCATCTATTCGATTTCATTCCACACCGTCATACAAAGACGAACACATTCCAGAATTTTTAAGGCATTTCTGTTTAGCTTCGACATCAATCTCGGAGCCTACTTTATTATTTAAAGCTCATAAGTGCCAAAAACGTAAACAAATCGAAAGTTATATGAGTCTAGCCCATCGATTATATTACGGGATGGATTTAATTTATGTTTTCTATTCCTGTGCAGAAACAAAGAAGCATTTCAGCATTTTGTTCGTAATACGCTATGTTTAGATGAATTTTACAGTCTTTTGGATTTAATAGATATCTCCCCGATTGCTGTGGCATGTTCAAATAAGGTAAACGGCGCAACGGTATTTTTTCATTGCGGTTGATTTTTCTAATCGTTTGCCATCAAAATAAACATTGACTCGTTCCATATTTCACCATTGAAATGGTATTGCTATGGCGGATAACGCGTCCTTTTATTGGTAATCGAATTTTATTGCTTTGCTCAAATGAAAAGTAAACTTTTCTTTTATGATTCGTTCCGAGGGACGTATTCATGGGCCATCGCTTCGTTGAAAGAACTGTATAATCTAGGTATATTGGTTTTCGAGCTTTTCTTCATTTTCCCATTGAAATCCAATTGGGTTTTATGATTTAAACGATTGAACGTGGCCGCTGCCGTCGCCAATTTAATCGGAGACGAGAAAAAATGACAGAAATCGATTTATATGATACAAATGTGTGCCCCAGTCATGAACGTGTTGTGCTACCAGATATCTTCCAGTCGCATCGGCCGCCAGGGTTTCAGTTCGAGTCTTTTTGTCGTTCACCTAAATTTCACATCATAATTGATGTGACTGAAAATACCTACATCTCGAGCAATGTGAATTTATGGAGTTGTCTGTTACGATAAAGACGTGTTGAGGCTAAGGATACACTTGAGAATTTCACTAAAAGTAAATCGCAAAACTATGCAACCTCTTTCCCGAATCGAACCGTTGTGTATGCGTCTTTGTTGTTATTACATTTTCGGATCGACGGACGTTTTATGTTCGTTTGCGTTAGTTTGAGTGTTCGGTTGCTGTTCAAAGTTACAGACGTGTTCTATATATTTCAGTGACAAATCAATACAAAAGAATTTCAAGATTTTTATTTGCATATCACGATTGTGTTTGCAATTCAAGAAACTCTTACAAACGACCAAACACAAACACACCGCAAAATGTAAAATAGAAAATGCAACACGAATTCGAAGAAATCGAAATAGTAGTAGCGCAACAATTGGAATTGGGTTTATGAAGCGCGTAATCGGAAATGAAGGCGGAATTATTGATGGGATTGCAACCATATGGAAAGAAGAAGTGTTATTTATCATGTAAAAGTGGAAAAATTCACATCAGTATCGAACAACAACAACGAAAAAGAAGAGAACAAAAAACGAATATAGCAGATAGTTCAAGGGAAAATGCATGCAATTAACTGAATGAAAGCGTTTGCACGAGCAACAGGAAAAATGACGATTTTCAACATAACCCGTTTGGTTTTTTTTTTATTCTGTTGAGTCAGAATGGCATAAAATTGCAAACTCCCATGGATATTCCATATATAGGGGACATTGCTGCAGGTTGGCTACCACTATTTGTTTTGGTCATAACTTTGTCAGGAGTGAACAATTAGAAGAGATTAAGGTACCGTTGGATAGATAATGTCTTGAGCTATAATTTTGCTTAAGAAACATA